TTCCGTTACTTTTCCATCCGCCATATTGGATCAACTATTTCGAACTTTCAATTTTTGAGTACAGATTCGTTATTATCGGCCCCAAAAACCCTCGGATACGGAATCACATCAAAATCAGAGAATACCAACAGCCTCAACGAATAGAGGCTTCAGAAAAGCGTGACACGCCAATTTTAAGATATGATGATGATATTGAACTGAGATTAAAATTTAAATGCGCTCTTGAAAATTCGCAATACTAAGGACTCAACTGAGGCCTTCCATGCTGTAGTAGATTATACCGACTGATATTGTTACCGACTTTCCACGGATTATCGAAGGCATTATCGAACGATGATCGTGTTAAAGCTTAAAGCATTCTTCAGGGTTGGCGTCGCACGCGCTCTTTCAAATTATTTTTCTTTGCTGTTAGGATAGCAAAGTCTTCGTTAAAAAATGAAATTGTTCTTTATCTGCCATAATTAGATATCTGAATCAGACCTTTAATTTCACTCACGAACCCATATAATGTTACGATTGCGGTAATCAGTTTTTATATCCATTACCACATCGTCAAATTAGTTAGAATATATAATAGATAGCACGATAACTTCAGGAAAATCAAGTTAAAATCAAATGATTTTAATTGCCTCAGTAGGCATATATTAACTGTAGAGTATATATCGTTTTTTCCTCTTGTTTTCTCTCTTTTTCTACTTTATTCGCGTTTTCGGTTTTCTTAATATGTAGTTTAATAAGTATGGCGAAAGTGCGGATCTCATTGCTCCCGGCCTCGAAACTATCACTTATTTTTCTCGTTTACGATTATATCTGTATCTCGTAATCGCACAGTGCAAATATACAGATTATAAAACTCCTTCAACAGGAGATTGAATATCCTGTTTCGCTTTTTTATTCATCGACGATTTCAAACACTTGATTTTCCTGTACACGCGGATGCGGAATTATAACTTTCCAGTAAATATTAATTGACAGTAATATTAGATCAATGTTCTAATTTCCTATTCAACAATATAACTGTTACGTACGATATGTGTGTTGTATTACATTTTTCGCAATAAGCTTTTGCAATATTTTTGATATTAATAATTTGTTAGCATTATTATTAAATTGATATCAATTTGTAATATTATTATTATTTTAACTCTAGTTTATGATTATGTTTCAAATTCGGTAGTCGGCGCGCAGTTTATTTAATTGAAAGTTGTATTTATATAAGAAATATTATTATATTCAGATCTTAAATCTCAATGTGAATAATACGTTGAGGTAAGTAATACCAAATACAGTCGAGGTTGGATCTTGGTAATATTTCTTATTATATTATTGTTGAGTGAAACTAAAATCCTGCCAATTTTTGCAGCCTTTTATCTCCTTAGAAATTTAATACAGCCAATTAATCACTTAATTATTTTTAATATTAACAGTATTTTCAATACTCAAAATAAGTGATTAATTGGCTAATGGTAGAATTAAATTTTTATAAAGTTCACGCCTGACATCTTTTTCATTAAACTCAAACGTTTAATATCGTAACTTTCTACATTAGCCATAAGAACATTTTGTGGAAGTGAATTGTAGCGAATTAATTCATGCATCATGTGATATTTATCGAGCGCTATACATCGTGTACATACATCGTGTCGAAATATCGCAAATCAGCGGATCATCATTCGAACGGAAGGAAATGCATTTCTACATCCATGAAGTAAGTTCCCGGTGGCGCGGGCGCCGCAATATCAAGCGCCGCAAACACAAGATCTTCCCAGTTGATCGATCAGGAATAATTGACTTTCTCCGCCCGCTTCCTCCTGTCAAATCCTTCTTTTTCTCGTCTCCCGCCGATCGTACCTTTCGAATCTTATCGCAGCCGCGAGTTTTTCATCGTCTACATCCGCACGCATGGACATAGGTTGACGACCGTTCCAGTTGCCACGTGTCGCAACGTTCGCCGTTTCGTTTGTAATTTCAGAAAATAACATTAATTTATCGGCGGGAAATTAACGAGATTCGTCGAAACGCCTTTACGAGATTTTCATGGTTTTGTTCAAAACACATTTCTTTGTCCAATCTCTACTTAACATTTTCGACAATATAATCTTTCTATTATGTACTGTATCCAATAATAAATTACTTTTATGCTAACCGGTGAAAGAATGAAAGAATTGTTTGGCAATCAGAGATTTTGTTGTCGAATAAAAAAATTCTATTTCTAGAATACAAAGGAAGCCATATATCTTATTTCAACATTGAACTACTAGAGGATTATATATAATATATAATATGATATAACATATTCCTCCATTTTTTATGAGCTCGAGTACTAATAACGTAAACATAAAAGTTTATTGTTTAACATATTATTTATGTACGAAAAACAGCGGAATACGCTGTAGGCATAGAGTTTTAATTTGCACAATTTAATACGTCAGTGCGTTTAGTTGGAAGATAATGATCGTTGCTCACAAACAGTTGTGTTGCACTCTCATCGTATTAAACTATTAGAGGCTCGCGAGCGTTACACGGCCACATAATTATCTCGCTGTGCGAAAGGTTTTCTTTTCATACATCAATATAAAACCAGCACGGTTCATTATCTGCGGAATTTATAGGTCTAAGCTAAAGTAGATCTCTTTTTTTCTTCCATTGCTTTTCACCCCTTTAATTTCGCCTAGCTTGGCTAGATTGCCGGCATGACGTAGATTGGTAGCATTATTTAGTTTAGCGCACCATGGACGGTTTGCGCGTCGTAAATTTAATTATATGAAGTTGAGAGACAGCTTAATAGTTGCTTACAACACACTACTAGGAATAGTTTTTTCAGCATGCTTCGATCGTTTAACCAGAAAGATCCGCGTTGCTTCGAGCTTGATTTATTTACCAGAAATTCTTTTATTCTATATTGTAATTTTTAGTTTAGCCAATTTTCAAATGCATTAATTTTTTAAATCAATTATTAAACTTTATGTTACAGGCAGATTAAAATTTAACAATTGATTTAAAAAATTAATAAAAATAATAAGCAACAAATAGTAAGCAACAATTACTTTTTTAATTACAAGTAGCGCTGTAACGTTAGCTGCAGTGTTCTATAATGGATCAGCTGATACTGACAATTTTCATTTATGTTGTCCAAAAGAGAAAGGTTATTTTGTTTCACTTTTTATTATAATAATTAATTATTTATCATTAAATGCATTATTTATTAAAATGATTAATAATTTTAATTAAGAAATTTCGTGATTTAGAAATATAAAAGACTAATAAAATGAATTCTAAAGAAATATATAGAACTAAGAGTCATAAGTTTTTAATAATTATGTTAATGAATTACATTAAGTGCTTTATCGATAGATTGAAAACATATATGAATAGATGCGTGAAAATAATTGATATCAGAGAGAACTGATATATTACAGAATACAGCTAACTCACATTACTTATAATGTTATTAACTTTGTAACTAAAAAAATAATTTTCGATACACAACCATTACATCATACCTTTTTTATATCGCAGTAAGAATTGTTATGGGCATTTGCTATCACATTTGCTGCGCGCTTTCTTTTCGTCTCTAACTTGTCGTTACCCTCATTTGAAACAATTTAAGTGAATACGCGAACCTTATAGCTCTGCTTTAGTACTTTGAGAGAGAGAAATGCGATTTTAGTTAAAAAAAACACCATACCGATGTTTCTTGTTACATCATCGTAGCCTCGTTAAAATCCTTGAGATTACATGGAGCCTAATGATTTCACCATTTTTAAAATTAAAAAAAATTGTTTCAGAGAACATGAGGTTGAATGTGTTCATTCTCTTTTTACTCTCATTTCTACTTAACTTTATTTTTACTCTAATTTAACTTCAATTTTTTTTATCTGATAAGGAAATCTCGCTAAGTGTCAAATTTTGATTTTAATGAAACTTTGCATATATATTATGGATATATAATTTTGTGTGGTGTGTGTGTGTGTGTGTGTATATGTTACGTAAATAAACGAATTAAAAAAATATCAGCTACTATCAATAAACAAAGTGAGTTCACTCTTTTATGTAAAACTTTTCATAAGTATATAAAGCCCTTTTTGCTATATGTCTAAAATTTATAAATGCTTTTATATAAAGTAATTTTTCATATTGTGTAGTTTTTCAGATATAACGAAAAAACTGAAAACTGTTTTACGTGTAAGACAAATAATTTTAATCCTTAAAATCGTTTATTGGTCGCAACTAATAATTTTTTAATTCATCTATTTAAGTAATCTGTGTGTGTGTACAAAATTTTATAAAAATCGCAGAATATTTGACATTTTACAAGATTCGTTTGTAAAAAAAATCCATTTAAACACACATTGCGCATATATTTTTATTTATTTAAATTGCTATTTATTATATAAAATATATATTAACTCTCTACTAAAATTATGTTTTATAATGCTCCTTTATTTATTCTAATCTTTTATCTTTTTTATTTCTAATTACTGTTTCACTTTTTTCGTATGCAAATGATATTATCAAGATATATCTTATATTTTACATATTATCTTATCTGATATGTTAGACAATAATAAAATTGACAGGTACATTTTTGAGAGGCAATAGTTTTACTGTAATAAAATTTCGTAGATAAAATAATTGTGCATTGTTCAACCGTGAGGAACATATAAGTTTTTCTTCTTTGAATTTGCAAATATATATTCTAAATTCCTATGAGATCACTTTTGACATAATAATTTTATAATAGCATTACAGCAGAGAGACTCATTCTCTTACAACGATAATATTGATTTTTATAGGAGAGAAGGAGAGCCTTTTGTTAGAGTTCTATCGTTATTCGAGAGGGAATTACTCTAAAAGTAGATAGCTACCAGCCGCGTACCCGCGTCACCAATTACGTTGGGGCAACTACGGCTATATAGAAGAGCCACGCCGACTTCGCCGGTTGATTTCTGCGAGTAAAGTCGGCGCGATACACAATCCGTGCACATCTCTCTGCAGCCATGAAACTACCAGTGAGTGTTCAGGATATTCTGATTGATTGGCCGCTTTTATTGTGTCAATATTAATACAGTGACGAGAAATGTTTCAATATCATCAAATTTTATTTCGCAGGACTTTCTGCTGATATGTGACAATCAAGGGTGTATTATATTTTTTAATCAGTTCCTTTAATCGTCAAGTGTGTGATTGTTGATTTTTTAAATATTAGTCTCATTTAATTAAATATAAATTATCTTTTGGTATAATTTATCGCATAATTATTCGTGAAACATTTTTTTACGTTTTTTGTACGTTGCACACTGTTAGATGTCAAAAAAGTTTCAAATTAATACGAAAGAATGCTTTAAATTAAAAAAATATATTATTTGTAACACTTCCATGTATATGAAAAAATAAATTAATCCATTTTTTTCTGTGATTGAATTGGATAGTTTTAAAATAAACAACGCAAAGAAACAATGTTCATATTATATGCACTTAGTAAATAATAAACTTAATTTGATCTAAATAAATTTAAATCAAATTTCATACATCTGAGTTAAATTATTTAACTTTATATACATTGCTTTAGTTAAATTAATTATATATTGAGTAGGAACGGTTGATAAGAAATAATTAAAAATTACTGAAATTATAATTTGTCATTATGAATTTAACTGCGTATTTAGGAAACATTTGTTCATTTTTATTACTTTTAACTTAAAACCAATTGTTACGACATCGCACAATATATCTTGTTATTATTTATTACAAATTTCCAGATTATTCTTATTGCGGTGATATCATTCGCGTGGGTAAAAACGGAAAATGTAGAGAGAACTGTTCGCGCGCCGCAAGAGCAAATCAAGTATGCTGATAGTGACGGTAAGTTTCTTCGATTACTTGTTGTTGAAAATGTATATACTCCGGAAACCTTGGACCCGATTTATCGCAATTAACTGTTACCGTTACTGCCATTGTATACACGCAACAGTAGATTTTCACATCCCAGATCTTTAGAGCAATTCTTTTATGATCCTCGACTGAGGTCAATGTTGCGTAAGCATCGATAATTGACGGCCTTAATCAATGCCAGAATGACGGATCGTTTCTTTCGATGTTGCAGATTCGAGGGTCAATTCGGAGTACCTCGCGCTCCGAAGCCTGCAGTTACAGCAGGCGTACGCTCAGCGGTCTCAGCGTGCCGAGGGTGGTTCGCCCCTTCGTCTTCGACAAGCCCAACAACCGGTCGCGCGGCCTCAGCCTCAGCAAGCCCAACAGCAGGTCCAAGGTCCGCAGTATTACAGCTACAAGCCGTATTCGGCGGTGCCGAGTCACATTAAACAGCTGATCGATTCGGTTTATCAGCCGCAAGCTCCTTACGTTGATCCTACGTCTTTCATTTACGGCGGCAATTATTTTGCGGCGGCACCGAAGCAACGTGAGCAACCGGCACCTGCCGCTTCTGAATATCCTCGTGAAGCCTATTTACAACCGGCGGAGAGATATCAGTCAATCGATCCTCAAAGAGCGCAGCCCAGGTACGAGTACAGCGATAGAAGAGTGGAGCGTCAAGATAGAGTCCTTTATAAGGAGGATTACGAGCAACAGCAACAACAGCAACAACAGCAACAGCAGCAGCAACAGCAACAGATTGTAGCGTTTCCATTAGCAGCCGTACCAGAATCTCCAATGCCCACTCTATATTTAGACAGGAACATGCCTACAGAGATCAAGCAGTTGCTGAAATATCAGGCACAGATACCGTATGACGTTACAGCGAATCGCATTCACTACACACCGAAAAGCGTTTTCGTTCCCAAGCCGTTGCCCGACGATGTCAAGGGACCCTATTATTACCGTAGTAAGATCTACTATCCAAACGATGATAACTTTGACGCAGAATATTCGCAGAACAAGCCGGTCGATGAGGAACAGCGCCATTGACCGAAAATTGGTCTACTATATAATACGATTATATAATTTAATATTCTATTTCTTGATAACCTTTGAAGAAAACTTGGCTGACTCTAAGATTCTTTCGAGAATCTCATTCTCATACGACGAAATAGCTTTCAGTTTTTGATGTTATCAAGATTTCGTTAAAATAAATTTCTTACGTTTTAAATTATTGTACTGCTTCTCGAGATAACGATGTATGTTTTGTACTACCGTGTATGATATTTGTCAGCAATCGGCTCACTGCAGAATTTTTCTTGAAGGACCAAAAATGAATGAATGTCCGCTTGACAATTAGAATTAAATATACTAATTACAAAAAACTATTAAAATTATAATTAACATAGAACAATGTGTTAAAAAGAAAATGTGAAAAAATTAATGAAAATCACGCAATCAATAAAATAGTTAGTTAAATTTTACGAAAATTTATTTGAAACATAATAATGATAACAGACAAAAATATAAGAAGTAAAATTAATTTATAAAATTTCCTTTCAATTAATTTTCTGTTCGATTTTTATTTTACTTAATATTGTAATTATAATTCTACTTTATAAAGATATATCTATCCAGTTTTTCGCGTATGCATGTAAGTAGAGAATGTTTGATTACACGGTAACGTGAAGAATGTAATTTTTTTTGTACGAAATAAACGTTTCCGCTTCTGGTATCATGGAAGTCATTCACCTGGTCGTAACGCAATCTTCGCTTTTATTATTTCAGCTCGCAGAACTCGGCGGAATTTCCGCTCGTAAAAAGATGAATTAAACGGGCGCGAGTGAAAATTCAATAAAAGTCTCGTTTACTCCTTTCAGGAAGTCTCACATTTTGCGCGACGTGTGATTTGCTTAATTATACATGAGGATAGTTACTAAATCCTACGCTGTTAGAGCAAATATAGAGAAAGTCAGACGATTTTTAGCTTTCTATTGAATAAAGATATCTGATCTCCCTACGATGTTAGAAAACACCGTAATTCGTCTTACGCAGAAATTCACAACGTAATATTATCAGAAGAGCGCGTACGACGTTTACGATATAAATTACAAAAGGAAATAAACTGGCATAATCTGAAAAATTCCTTATTGAATCGCATAAATTATGGAAATTATACTGTCTGGCGTGAATATTCTGATCTGACGAGAGAGAAAGAAGTATGTGTGACAGTTTTGTAATACACAAATTATTAATAGACATTATTAATAGATTTCTAATTAGAAAGGAATTGGATTCTTATCAATCGCAAACACACATTTAATGCGTGGAATTATAATGTAAATCCGATCAAGCGGTTTCATTTATTGATGCGTGACGATACAAGGTGAGAACATTTATATATAATGTGCAAATTCGAAAAAGCATGTATGTGAACGCTAAATAGCGTTCCTCCGGACAAGGAAGACTGACGATCCATTTTCGTGGCCTTCACGCTTCGTGTGTCAATGCACTCGAGTTGCTGCGAATGTAGTCGTGCTTTCGTTTTGCGCAATTTTCCTTTTTACTCTTTATCGACGCTCTCTTGCATAATTAAATAATTCGCCAAGGTTACGCCCTTTAAGTTCATCGATTTTACTTGAAGAAATCAAAGGAAATTGATAATTACGTAATTATGTAATTGCATTCACACACATGATAAAGAAGTCAAAGATTATTTAAAGTATAGGAGAAATATGATAAAAATAAAAATATTTTTTTTAAATATTGTATATTCCATTACAGTCAAATATAACTAAATTATTTTATTACATTTGAATACATAAAATATTTATCTAATAAAATTAGCAATAATAATAATCTTAATTTATGATTGTTTGCAATTGATTTTCTTGTATAATGTACATTTTTTATATCTGATAAGTCAATTTCTAAAGTCTTGCATTCTCTTTGTGAATCATCTTGTACGTATGACTTACCTATACCTTTTATATGTAAAAACTATCTCAACTAGAGAAATAACTCATCGAATACATATCTAGTCGATAAAATAATTTCGATATCAATTACATGTTGATTTGACATCAATTCGATGAGTCATTTCTTGGAACATATTTTTACTGGTACCGAATAATGCCGTAAAAATTGTTTTCGCATGTCGATACAAGTCCGGTAATCTATAATTTCACGGGAGATCGACGATCTATCTATCGCGATGCGACACGGTGTAACTTTCTACTGTAAACTGACGTAACACGGCATTTCCATCTGTGAGTAAGAGCGACTTCGTAGTCAAATAAATGGATAAAGAAGAAATACGCTCCCATAATTGTGTATAATAGTAAAATAGGAATCTATGGAACTAACAATAAGAGTTTACGAGTTTAATGACACAGAGCATCGGAGATCTGTTATCGAATCTATTGCGAAAATAGAAATCTATAATTTCTAGGGTAGAAACAAGAATACAGAATAATATAGGTTTTAGTTACATTCGAAATAATACGACATAGTTCAAAGAACAATTTCCTTGATTACATTTTTGCGTATGTAACCACACTATCTGTACCGATCGCAATATCAATTGCAATAAATGAAAATTTCTTACTCACTTATTTTGTTTTCCTTTAAGATTCAGTTTTTCTTTTAAGTCCGTATTATTATCAGCACTTTGATGCTAGAAGCAACAGAGTGCAGCGCTTTTACGTAACTTGACAGGACAATGATTGAATTCAATGTCGGCAATTAATTGCAGATCTTCGTGGTCTTTACATCGTAACCTTTGAATGGCGATTGCCTGGGAAACATCGTGTTGCATTGCATTCCACTGTAGTTATTTCGTAGTTTTCCATCGTTGTACTCAAGACTTTTCACAATAAAATACATCGTGTAAAAGATAAATGCCTCATAGTTGGCTGAAAAAACTTAGTTAATCGAAACAAGCAAAACTTAAACCGCCTTTGCAAGAAAAATATACTTTCTCATTATTATATAAAATGAAAATAACATTGTAATATATAAATTATTATAATGTTAAAATTAAATTAGTAATTTGTGTAAAAAAGAGAATCTTGTAAAATTATTGTGTTAAACGATTGACTTCGTGATAGAGAAATTATTTAAAATCATCTTTTTTGAATAAACGACAGAGATAAAAATCATTGTAAAAGACTATAAAATAGAAATTTACTATATTAAAGAGCATTTGCCAATCAAAATTTAATTTACCGAGACACAGTCTGCAGAACATACAATGAAATTAAAGTAAGTGTTACTAGCGCCGGAAGCGATTTTCTTTAATACGTTCACGTTTGCAGAAAGAGCAATGACTGTTGGAACACGACGCCGGCCGGCCGGCCGACGAGGTGCAAGATGGAGGTGGCTCTCGCCGAGTCACATCCCCGTCATCGAAAGGCCCCTTTTACGTGGCTGACTATAAAGTTGTTCTGATGACCGCGCGCCCGCTTCAGAAACACTCCACCCTCGAACGAATCGACCAGCTTTCACGCCATGAAATTGCACGTAAGTAACGCAGCCGCCTTGTGTCGTTCTTGTTTTTTTACTTAATCGAAAAACTTTGCGCGATCTTGAAAAGTAGAGAACAATGCAAAATGCACGTGTACTTTTCCACGAGTCGCGCGTTTTCTTTCAGCGCGTGATGCAGGCGAAATAAAGTCGCGTGCGCCTAATCGTGCTACATATACAAACCAGATATACCGGAAATAAATTACGTGACGATTCGATTAACGGGTGCCGCTCGTTATTTTGTGCTATTTCGGTCTTGAACATTTTCTCGCATATCCGAAACCATAATCTTAATCATTATGTGAATCTCATGGGTATGCATATACGGACATGTGCGTTGTTTCACGATACCATCTCATTACGTTAAAAACTAAAAAAAAAGTGTGAAATGTTCTAGAAGTGTTATGTAAATTTAATTCCTGTGTTATAAAATATTTTTTTAGATATTAATTGGATTATAAATTTATTTCCATTTTGTATCGCGAAAATTAAACGTACTCTTGTAAGATTTACAAGGTTATTATATCGTCGTCGCAAGACGCGAAAACAAGACGGGAAGTTGTTTTGTCGGAGATACCCAACCCCGCCTTCCGTCGGAAGGTAATAAGCGTGAATAAAGGAATGATGAATATCGTGCATTTAATTGCATCTTTGGATTGCATTGTAAAGAGAGTGACGAATCGTAATGCTTCTTAATTATCGAGGTCGTTAACCAGGAGTGCATTTCACGACCTAATTATTAGCCGCGGATTCAAGCGATCAGGCTTTCTCAATCTTGCTGCAAGCTCGCAGATCGAGATTTCAATGGAAAATAGCTGTTTCATCAATTTGTTTTGCTGTCACGCTGCATATATATTTTTCTCTTATAAGAGCTAAACTCACATATTTTCTTCTTATAAGAACTAAACCTGCATACAATGAGATAAAATAGATACTCAGGGAAAACAACAGATATTAAAAAGCAACAGAGCAAATATTAATTAAAATAAAATATTAGTCTATTTGTACGCTACTTTTAACCAATTACAATATCCTTTCCTCCAGGCTGCTTGAAGAGAAAAAAAATGCAGTAGACCTCAATAATCAGCACGCGTGTCGCGAAATGTCGTTCGGTTTCCGCGTTCCGTAAAATGTAACTCGCGCAGAATTTGTCGTACGTGCGATTCTGGAGCAGCATTTTGTTTCGTGACAGCTGGTTACAGACATTTTCAAAACGAGTCGAAGTTAATTTTTTCTCAAATAATCGCGTTGGGCGTGTCTGAACGATTAACGTCTATCTTATACTTTCTACCGATCGTGCAATGCTCGTAGTCTAATCCTAACGCGTTCGATTGCTTGTAAGTCCGCGAGTCGACTTGCGACTTGCACTTTTTCTTTATTCTTCTACCTACCTTTTTGTGCGGCTGCGTTTCTAACAATCTTGCGATCGCGAATGTTAACTGGTAACGTGCTCACCTTTTCCCCGATTATCGTGATTAAAGATTCATGTGTTCGCGGACTTTCCCTTCCAACTTCCCGGTGCCGGTTGCTCGATCCGCTTCCATATATGCAGTATAGTACATGCCGTAAGACAGATTCAGGTTTATAGTGCCAGGCGCATTAGATAATGATCTTTGATCGTCTGGTTGCGAAATCGAAAGCACTTAACATCGAGAATGAGATAAACGTTTGAATGTAATATAATGTTAGATTCCGATTTTATTTTATTATAATGGTTAAAAAGATCAAGAATAAAAAATAGAATTGTACTTTCTACTAATAATAAGTATCAAAAAAGTAATACAATAAGAATTACAAAGTTTTCTATAAGACTATTATGTGATTACACAACGATTAAGAAATAAGGACTCTGTTTAGAGTTACCG